GGTCAAGTCTCGCAGCCATAGAGCAGAACCGCTCTCACTGTGGAATTCTAAACTCGGCCCTTCAGAGATAGACTCAGATCGCCTCGACGCCAGAGATGGAGAAGATTGGCAAAAGCAACCCGAGCCTTGGAGACGCGCAAAGTGCCCTCATCCGTTAAACGATTAGCACTGAGGCAGCTTCCGAGAAAAAGGAACTTGTCCGCCACTTCTAAGGGATGGGCTGAAAGTGTAAGGGAATGAGCACTGCCTAGCCAGTCCTGCAGGAAGACCTAGCACTTCGGTGGCGCGAAGGTCATTCCAAACAAAAAGAGAGACAGACACCTCCAACCTACACAGGACATTTTGTGGGGCCTGTAAGAAATCGCAGATTACGGCGATGCCGTCTGCATAGGCCAAATCCCGAAGTCGATCCCCAGAAGCAGGTCGACGCCGCTAGGTTTATATTTATCTGGAGCACTCTCCAGCTTTCCGTCCGTAATGAACTTGAATAAGAAGGGGGCTGCTGGGCAACCCTGTCTGTCGTCACTGGTGATAGTGAAGGTGGGCGAAAGTCCGCCGTACACCCGCACTCGGCACGATGTTTAAGAGTAGATGTCTTGAAGTAAGGTGACATAATTCTCTGGCACTCCGATTCTCAGTAGACAGTTGTAGAAAGCAGCTTTGTTGATTGAGTCAAACGCGGCTCGTATAGCTAAGAAGGCAACGATCGTTAGCTGGCAAATGGGTTGTAACGATGCTTTCCCTCTGCGCTCTGCCACTGGCAACTCAGCCGGGGACAAAACGGAACCCAAAAGCCTGCTAGCCCAAAGTATATTAGGCACAGAATACGGTTTATTTTACAGGCCAGAATATATCATCTCCTGTTATAACTTCCTGAGCTGACTCAAGCTACTTGCCCTGGACAGATTTTAAATCTACTTGCTCCCTGTCACGTAACAACCTGTTGCATGCTGACAGTCTGATTTCCTCAGTTTTCCGCATGACTTAGCCGAGTAACCGCCGGTCGGGTAGCAACGCGTGTCCTGATGATAGACGTCTCGAAGCCTTGTCGCGTTCTTAGACTGTGGCCTCCGATTACCTCCCCTTTCGAATTGTGTCTGCTTGCATACTGTTCGAACTCCATTTTGTTCATAGCTTTTAGTCTTGGGGTCAATTTGTAACCATTATGGTCGTCTCCGCTTTCGGGTCGGCTTGCATTGTGTGTCGTCTGATGCTTGCAGGTTTTGTTGTGATCCACGAAGCCGCTCAGCTTCTTCTTCTAAACCAAACGTGTCCAGCAGGATGTCTCACGGTAAGGATGGCGGTTCTGTTGAACTTTGAAACTTTCCGTGATTATGCCTCAGCTGATTGGCATACCTGACCCATTTCTCATTTTCTAACTTGATCTCGTAAATGAATCGACTAACCCCTCTGAGGTTGTCGCAGTCAGTCAGGGTACCCTTTTAGAAGACGGGCAAGACATCCGCTGGGCTCCAATCAGATGAGATAATTTCAGTGACCTAGATCTCTTGCAAGAGAGAACTTAACTCCTGAACAAGTAATGGGCCGTCATCTTTGAAACGAGCCGAAGTGAATTCATCTGCCTCAAGGGCTTGGTAGCCATTTAAAGGGCGAAGCTAGTGGGCTACCTCAGCCCCGAATGGTGGTATAGCGTCTACACGCCAGGGAAGGTTCTGGAATCCAGAATGGGAATTCATTGACGCTTCTCAAATTGCTCGTCCCGACGCTCGAGTCGGCGTTTTGACAGTGGAATAGCTCGCAATTGGTTTCGCATAAAACTTCACTTACAGTCGGCCTTTTGCCGCTGGTAGTTCCGTTCAAGAGGAAAAGCTTACGGAAATTCCCCAAGGTGGCCGTTTGCTTCATCTCAATGACCCGCTTTCTCCACCAAGCTTCGCGATCTTCCCGGAGAAACTGTTTGAGCTTAGCGTTAGTAGTCTTGCCTAGTGAATGTTATTCAACGCTATCAAGAATTGCTCGACCGGATTTCGAGAAGTTGGAGGGATCGCGCAAAGAAGAAGTGATTGACAGGAATACTGGTGAAGTCACAGACCGGAGTTGCAGAGTTGTACATGGCAGATGTTTGCCCAGTGCGTTTCAATGTTTATGCATGAGGTAGTCTTCAGCCTTGAGGCCAAGGCATCCTGAAACACGCTGAGAACGTCCGGAGCAGAAAGCTTAGCTACTTCAAGCCGTTTCTGGCGGCGCTACTGGGAGCCAGCAAAATGTAGCGCGACTTTGGTACACACCAAAGCTTGGTCCGAAGTGAGATAGGTACAAAACTGGATGGCTGTTAGTTAGGCGTCGTTAAATTATTGTCGCACCCAATTTAATTACTTTAAATGGGCTTTTCTATGTCGTCATACACCAGGATGTCGATAAGACAGCGGCCATGGGCTTCTACTCGCTCGTCTTATCAATTGTCATATCGTCCACCTCTCCTAAACTTTTTGCATTCTTCCAATTTTGACAAGCACTAACACAAAGATGAGACGAATCCAAAAACTAGGAGCTGTATAACTTGACCGAGGGTGCGTACCTTTCTCTTATGCTTACGTATGAAAAGCTTCGGTTACAAGCCTCGGGAAGAGATAATTTGCTCCTAATGCAAATTAAGAGGCGTAGAAAGCTTAGAGAATTCCTTAGTCACTTAAGCGACATTGTTCCGAAGCAAATTTTTGATCTTCAAGTTGCCCTGTAACTACAGCTAGAGGTGCTTTACCATTATCCCAAAGTAACGGTTAGAATACACAGAAGTCCTTTCGTAATGGAGCCATCAGTTTGCAAAAGTTGTGATTTCCCGGCCACTAAAATATGATGAACTGTTTGTGGCTAGCGACACAGAGCAGACAGGTGCAAAGCGACGGCTGTGCTTCAAAATTGTTGTCGTTCTGCTCATTCGATTTCATCAGCGTTAAGCTGAGAAACTCGAAAATCAATACATGGTTCTATAAACATCTAACCTTGGTCCCTTGCAAATTCCCAATGAGCCACAGGCCTAGGTTGATAGCAATGGCTTTTAATGAGACTTCACTCTAATCTAAATTAATATGTTGGCCCGTTTTGCCTTAAAATCAAAAACTTAAAATCATTTTCTCACAGCTTGTCAGTGGTTATGTGCATGCAGGAAGAGCACGGAGTTTCTAACGTCTATTATGGTAGACTAAACTTCGCGGTAGGTGTTTTATTGGGGCTAGAGTTTCGTTGCTATAAGCTATCATGGAAGCGTGCATAGAAAAGTTGACGGACCCTAATTTTTCGTATTTCTAATAATAAAATAAAAATACATTGTCAGCTGTACGCCGTAACGGCGCATGGCTGCCACGCGACCACAAACAGCCGCTCGCGCACTGCGTATACAGCGAAGACGCCCAGCCGTATGCGGCTTCGAACCGGTGACTTTATGGTGGCAAACCGGGCAAGCATACCACTCGGGCGCCGGCCGACTTTGCTGTTCCTACAAAATGCTATCCCGCAGCATGGTTAAATCCATCCTCCCCACCGTTGAGTATTTCCCCACGGGATTCTTTCCTACTATTATTTGTCGGTAGTTTTAGCAAGCTATTTGTGCATCTCTGTTTCTTTTTCCAGAGGGTTTCAAATTGTATTATAATTGCAAACCCACGAAAGTACTCAAATTTCTTGCTTAATAACTTCAGTTGTGTATAATAGGTCTGAATCTTACGAATATTATTTCATAATACTGGGTAAATGACTTGCATCTGGTTTTACAACGATTAACTTCATGGGCTGCATTTCCTCACTCATCTGTGCCAAAAGTGTCCCTCGAGCTGCCACCCACGAATTTAATCCTTAAATCCTTAATTACTTTCTTATGCCTGCATAAGGTCTCATTTTGAGGGGATTTTGCACATCCAGCTTCCTCGATTACTCCGCGGATCGTATGAAATAAATGGGCTACAGCGTTACAGATCGATCGCAACTATCCCGGAGGATTTAAAATAAAATATTCATTAAATGATCACTACCAAAATGCTTTGTTCAGCAAAACCAGAACCTACGGATGAGGAAACCAACGAAGTAGGGCAGGTTGATTCAGCCCTTACCGTTCTAGTCTGCACTGCCTTGTTTTCAGAACTATATTCAGTCTATAGGTAGATAATTAGCTCAGAACTTCCGAATGACTAAATTATATTCCTATAATGTTTCCACTTTACTTACGGTCTTTGTGATCGGAATGACCGCGGTCCACCTCAAGTGAACCGAAGTCTCAATACAGGTTGCTTGTAGCAACCCAACCACCAGCGGATTCTCCAAGTTCAACTATGAATTCGTTTCCTCTGGACCAAGCTTTGCTTGTGGATCTCAGTGGCATAGTGCTTATGGCGTCAACCATGAGCCACTAGGCTCTGAGTTCAAGCCCAACTCAGGCTATCTCCAACTGATGAGTCCCAACCAGGACGAAACCGCGGTCTTGGGGTGCCAGTGTTGGGATGAGCAACACTATAATGTTTCCATATTCCTACCATATCTCGTATCTTTGTCTGTTATCATCGACTGTGCAAGTTATCAGTGTTCAGTGTTACCTTACTTTCTATCACGTGTTCGGAACCAGGTCACATAGAACCGCAAACTGCAATGCTACGTTGAAGCGGCATTTCGCGCGTTCAGGCATCGCAGTTTGTGTTTGGGAAAACGCAGTGGTCCGACAAACATTATGTTTGCAAAGCGCAATCTCCTTGTATGTTTTAGCTATTCAATTAGTGAAACTTAATCTGGGGAATGTACCGCCTAAATTGCGTTCCGAGTGTTCCACTGCTCATTGTCTTGCCAGTCTGGTTCCCACATAAGTGCCTTACTATATTTGTCACTTGGAGTCAGCATTGTTTTACTCCTATACTGCTGTTCTATAAGCTCAGTAGTACCGGGACTAGTTGAAGCTTTTATGTCAAGTTAGGGGTAACATACTTTAAGATTAATGATAATATGCGTCGTTACAGTTACTACGCTTTCATGCGATCCCATCTTTTCTTCTTGTCAGATGAAATACGTACAGGCGTTTACCGTGGATTATTTCATCCAGATCAACTCATCACCAGTATTGAAGACGCTTCGAACAATTACGCACGCGGGTTCTACAGTGTGGGCAGACGCGTCGTCAATCGGGTTTTGGCACAAGTTCGTCGAGCAACCGAAGCGTGTGACATGTTCCAAGGTTTCTTTGTGATCAACAGCTTTGGAGGTGGGACTGGGTCGGGTTTCACCTCACTCGCTTTGAATCACTTGGCTACGGAATACGCTAAACGGTCAAAAATACAAGTAGGGATATATCCTGGGCCACGACTTTCCACGGGAGTAGTCGAACCGTACAACTCTGTGCTCACATTTAATTCATCAATGGAACAGAGTGAGCTGAGCATTCTTGTCGACAATGAATCACTGTACGATTTATGTGACTCCGGTTTAGGTGTAGCTAGGCCAACCTACACGGATGTGAACCGAATTGTTGCTATTATATTCAGCTGTATGACAGTATCTTTGCGCTTCGAATCCCCACTGAATGCTGACTTGACGCAGTTAGAGACTAACTTAGTTCCCTATCCACGTATTCACTTCCCTATCGTCAGCCACGCACCCATCACATCTACAGAACGGTCAGAGCATGAGATATATAACACCAACGATTTAACACGTCTGTTATTCGAACCAGCTGGCCAGATGCTAAATGTGGACTTGACACAAGGTCGAATAATGAGCTGTTGTATACAGTACCGTGGGGACATTGCAGCGCAAGATGTGGCCAAAGCAGTTCTCGATTTGAAGCGCCGACGCGTCCTGCAATTTGTTGACTGGTGTCCTACCGGATTCAAACTGGGTATCGCTAGCCAACCTCCGACAATCCCGTCATACTCGCCTATGGCTAAGACCACACGGTCTGCAACATCGTTGATAAACACCTCTGCAGTTAACCAGGCCATTCAAAAAGTAGACGCTAAGTTTGATATGCTATTTCATAAACGGGCATTTGTGCACTGGTACGTCTCTGAAGGTATGGAAGAAGGCGAATTTCCCGAGGCTAGAGAAGCTTTGTCCGTTTTGGAACAAGATTATATCGGCGTTACTGAGAACACAAAAAATGAAACAAGTACAACTGGCTCTTTTAAAGTCGGCACTCAGGAGGGTCTGGATCATCCGGACGAAATGGCACTGCGAAGTGAGAAAGGCCGACAGACTTCTAGTAACCATGCTGTGCGATGGACCGATGTGGCAGTGGACGAACCTACAACTCACGAATCTACCGATGAGAATCAGGTCTCGGATTCAGATGCATCATCTACCTCGACCTCAACAGGTAACATGAGGTCATCGGATCCCAGGTCATTGGTCATCTGCCAAGAACTATGAGGTTATCCCACACATTCTTAATTGACGTCTAATTGCTGTTCTCTTTCGGTTACTGCCAATGTTGCCAGTAGTCACTAACTATCACGCATTTCTTTCGAACGCGTGTTTCAAGCCCTGATGATGTGCTGTTTTGTTTTACAGTTCTGCTGCCTGCAGAATGTGTATGGACGGATGATTTCTTTTGTGGCATTATGTACCACAATGTCATCTGCTGCATATTATGTTCATAAAAATCTCCTTTTCTCGCGACTTCAAGTGACGGTGATTTTTGCACTTTCAACAACGGTCTATGCATCGTCATTAATATCATCACTCCGGCCAAGCAACCGCGAAGCTAAGACTAATTTTTGTGTAGCTGTAATAAAAAGTAGATAGGCGAAAAAGAGAAAATGCAACAGGCATCGTATTGCTAGTGTCATCAGGTACCTGTTATCCTTTAACATTAATGATCAGCTGGTGGCGAGTGGTCTGCGCGCCTGGTTTGCAACCATTAGATCATCGGTTCGAATCCGCGTAGGGGGGTGAGCGTACTAGCGGTATACTCAGTGTAAGCGGCAATCCCCTTGGAAAGCTTTGAGGAACGCGCCTTCACCGGTTTCAACAAAACAAGACAAGAACTGGAATACGGTAGGATTACAAATAATGTAAAAAAGGTACAATATCTCAATATTCTGTGCTTCTGGCACAGGCGTATCAGACAACAACAATCCAAGGTAGCGAGCAAACTAAACTTCAGGCATGCAGAATAAGCTCGTCACAATTTACTTTGGCTTTAACTGGCCTACACATGACCAATCGGAAAGGCAGATTGTCATGTAACGTGGGCTTTCGGCCAGTGCCCTACACATGCAGACACACCGTGATGGTATTGCAAGTGGTTCAATTGCACATGTTTCAATTACACATTCACAAATGTCCTCACGGACGAGGTGGTTTCATGTATGTGAACTCTATGCACATGGTCTTTCAACACCGTTAGGTCATATGCGATGTGAGGAATGTCTTGTAGGCCAGTACCCGAAGGCCACAGCGAGGGAGTTAACACGGAACATCACAAACTGATAACGTGAGGCGAAGCCACATGAAGCGACAATTAGGTCTGTTCAGAACTTGGAAATATAGGTCAATGTATGCACGGTTGAATGCAGGTCATCTATATGTTTGGAGTTCAAATAAACTTAATTAACTTGTCGCGGAACACAATCTCCATTGAGAGTCAGATAACTAAAGTCGTTAAGGAGAGGGCAAAGATTTGGGAACACGGTAAAGGGAATCACGTCCATGAGGCAGGGAGCGGTAGGAAGGCAGCAGAGGATAGCACATTTGGGAATTATCTACACTCACTCTGCGCGCCACTTTTGGTGGTCGCGTGACAGCGAATCGCATTAACACCGTACAGCTGACACATTATTTGTAAATATTAATGACCGAATTGGTATATAAAAGAGATGAAAAGCAGCCTTAGAACGGGTGGGATATAGATGGATCAAATTGTTTCCGCGAATATTCAGTCACGTTACCGTTGATTTGACCATGTAACGAGTGAAACATTTAGCCTATTCGTATTTTTGGGTGTGCACTGATAATGCCCTAGTCGCGGTTTGTATGTAAGCCTCATTGGTCACACGTCATTCCTGGAACAGTCGTTGTGTTGAGACTTCATAGATGAGCTGTTGGTCGAGCAAAAATTTTGGAGCAACCACGAGACAAATTTTTCAACCCACTGTCACTCGCCTTTTACTACGACATAGCGATTAGGAGTTCAGTGTTGGGTCTTGGAGTACTATGCATATGTCTGGATTGCGACGAACAATCTTGATTGAGGCGACGCTTTGCTCTGAAGCAAACTGCCACCTAGATCCTTGGAACCGCATCGAAAGTGGAGAGTTTAAATCGCTGTCCTAGAAGCTCTGGCTTAGCGATCAAGGTATAAACTGTTGACTGCAATGTGTCCGATTCTCCAATCGGCTCAAGTTATCTCTATCTGACGAGTTCAAAACCGGACGAAACCGGTCAGTCGTGGAGTGCAGTGTTGGAGAGAGCAGCTCAGAAAGCCTCCAATTCGGATGCGGTCCCAGTGATCGAAATGGCATTTTGCTTCAAAGCAAACGGTGACATCCGTCGAGATTGCCTGTCGTAATCTAAGCACACAACAGTTATTCCAAGACCCCGCAGTCAAATCCATGTAGTCCCGATCCGAAAAGGTCTCATTAATACAAAAGGAACATATTACTTCACTACGGAAAGACCGTCAGGATGAACTTCACGGGGATAATGTCATGAACCATGCAGCACTCCATTCAAACTCCTCCGAGCAATACTTACTAGTACATTCCGGACTTCTTGATGCACACACTTGATGGGATGACTGGTGGTTTGCCAATAAACTCGGGGATACCTTGCAGTGTACTTTTGATATTTAGTCGCCCAAGCATCTTTCGAGTTCAGTGAAGTGGCTTCCAGGCCAAATAGCCAACCACGCATTTGAAATGCCGTTTCATCCCATTGGGACTAGTCAGTGGTGTGCCGCCCTCTCCTCCATCAAGTGCTCAACCCATGATTTGTAGACATTGGCGTCGTAGGCAGTAGCTAGCGGCTTATGCCACCGGGACAATGGGACAGTGGCGGACTTCAATGACTTACTGCGTAATTGTGAATTAAGGGGCTCTCGCTGGATGTGGCATATCGGAATGATCAACCTCTATGTTGACTCAATGTTATTGTCGTAACCTACATAGACTTTGGATATTTAAAAGTTACGAAAGTTAATTAATAGCCTACTTGCCTGCAAATGGTTAGCGACCGGGTGACCTCGTAAGAAAGGAGCAGATGTACTTCCAAGATACGCTACGCTTTCCAATTAAAATGCACAACAACGGATTTACTTATCGCTTCAAAAACAATCATGCGAATTGCCCTGAGGTATACGCAGTCAACGGAGAGCAATCCTTTTCAATATTTCTACTAATTAAGGGGGCAACAAAACACTTTTTATTTAAATAGAGAAAAGTTTTATTTTCAACAGTGCAAAACACGCCTGCATTGGCATGATCACGGTGATACAGACTTTAAGGATCGGTAAATGTAAATAACGGTAAAAGATTCTCAGTGGCATAGGTTCAGGGTGATTGGTGTACATGAATTTTTGTCCGTGTGAGCTTGTGTGGCATTGTTGATTCGATTTGTAAATGCAACGCCCTACTTGTGATTGTTTTGGTCTGTTCGTTAGCGTTAGAAGGGGTGAATGGAAATCTCCGTATTGAATGATTGAACAAGTGAATTAGGTATTATCATGCGGATAAGTAGGAGGCAGTGCTTTGGTTTGTGGTGAGTCACATTCGCCACGTCGCAATATTGTTAAACAGACAGTTGTGGCGTTTTATGTGGATCACGCTTTCCAGGCTAGAACTTACCATTCCTAGAACACTGCTGCCGAACGAGTTCCTGGAACGGCTTAAACCCGAACCACCCAGTTGGCACTCCGCGAAGGTTGTTCGGCGTGCCAGCCAGATAAAAGAGGCACATGCACCCCAGTATCCGTCAGTTGTACGGAACACCTTTAATACAGTTGTTGAGAGTTTGTAAATCATATCTTGGTTGTTGAATAACCAGGGCGCTGCATGGTTTTGTTTTAAACACCATAGTGTTATATTCATCTTTTTCTTAACCCTCCTGGACACACCCAGTGAAATAGGCATACGGGTGGTTTTCTTGCGCGGGACAAAGAACCAGTTAGAAAAGAAATTACTGCTAAGGAAGTTCCAGTTTATGTAGTTGGAAGACCATGGCAGCTCAACCTCATCTGATCTATTGTATATGAATGCTGTTAGAGCAAAATCTACCACCTACTGCATTCGAAAAGAAGTCACTCTGTACTGCCATCGATCTACATAAGGAAAGTGGGTGGTGTAAACACTGAGCAACTACTTTAATTTCTGTCATGTCTCATATCCCTGACAGACACTGTATGAGGCGGCCGCGCTATTTCGGAGCTCGCGAGTTGTATCTTTCTGACTCATTATCTTGCTTAACAGCCAGTTTTCACTCATGTCACTCGGATCCATCAGCTCAACAAAGTGGATAATAAAATGTCGGATTATTTTTGACACCTCAACGTCTTGTTCATTTTGGTAATGAGACTGGACCTTACGGTGGTGCGATGGTTTGTGTGCCTCAGTTATCAATTTAGCTATGCTGGGTGGTGTATTTTGCACCTTCAGATCCACTCATACAAGATTGGTCAATGGTTAGAGGCCAGACAAACTCAGCCTCCTGGTCCTCCAGGTTGGGGGTTGGAATGAGGGTGGCACCTTATTCCTTAAAACGGGCTCCTTGTAACCCGACGCCAAACCCGCTGCCTTGCGGTCAGGTTTTTGAACTAAAGGCTTCGGTTGAGAACCCTAATCGTTCTCCCGTCTAGGCCTGGGCAACCTGACAGTATCCTGCCCACACAATACAATGAATCTTTCCTCAAACAATTTCCTGATGCTCTGGCCACCGCAGAAGGTAACCAATGATGCTTTATCTGCTGCATCGAACAGGGTGGATAGGGGTTTGGATGCTACTGCTCAAGCCTTCCCGTCTTCTAATTCCCCCTCTTACGCTTTTTCACTCATACCAACCCGTTCCAACTTCACTTTTATCCTCCCAGTTTTCAACCCCCGATTCTCGGCCCTCCCCCAACATGCTTTGCTAGGCATTTATCTTCTAATTACAACTCACATGTGCACGCGGAGCGTCACTCCTGTCTTGTCGACAAGCCCATGTCCAATCAAGCTGTCCATTCCAGTTCATCGGCTTCCATTTGGAGCCCTCGAGCTTCCTTCAGATTGGCATGCCCCAATGTACGCACATTACTACAGATCGGTCAACAGGCAGCACTTGCCCGAACATTGGAGACCGTCTCGATCGACGTCTGCTGCTTATCGGAGACCTGCCTGCAAGACTCGAGCTCTCTGCTCACTCTGCGATCCCTGGCTGGCTTGCCGAACAACCTCCTCGTGGTGCCAGCTGGGTGGTTCGGGTTTTTCCCGTTCCAGCAAATGGTTCAGCGGCAGTGTTCCAGGATGTGGTGGGTTTTCGCCTGGCAAACGTTCTCCCTATAAAAAGCCACATATGTCCGTGCAACAACACTGCGACGTGGCGGATGTGACTCGCCACGAAATAAAGTCACTGCCCCTTGCCTCTCCCCGAGAGGCATTGTACTTTAAGGGTGCGTTGGGACTCTGGTCCTTCACGGACCGAAAGGCGTAT